TCAGCTACAAACGTGGTGTGTGCGTGCATGCATGTACGTGTGTGTGTGTTGCATGTATAAGTACACATGCATGTGTATGCATGTCTGGAGGACAGAGGTCAATGTCAGCTGTCTTCCTCATCTCTCTCCGTGTTATTTTTTTGGGAACAGAGTCTCCACTGCATCTGGAGCTCTTCAATGCAGATAGGGCTGTGGGCCAATGAACTCTACCCATCTGCCTCCCCAGTGCTGGAATTACAGATGCAACACTGTGCCCTGCTTATACATGGGTTCTGGGGACTCAAACTCAGACCCTTGTGTGTATGTGTGTGTGTGTGTGTATGTGTGTGTGTGTGTAGCAAGCATTTTACCCACTGAGCCATCTCCTCAGACCCAGCAATAATATAAAAAATAAAGAGCATTTGAGCTACAAAAAAAAAAAAAAAAAGGAAGCCTGTCAGCGAGAAAGAGGCCCTGAAGGAAACCAAAATACATACTATGGGGCATTGGTCTTAACAGTACTGTCCAGGAGGACAAGGCTGAAGTAATCTAGGATGAAACAAAAGAGGTGAAGGAGATGCAGAAATCAAAGTTGAATAAAATGAGAGGGGAAATGTAATAGATAGAATTTCCATGAGTGTTTTAGCCATGCCACTACATTGCCTTTACTTTTTAATATTTTATTCTTTGAGAATTTCATATATGTATACAATAAAATAGGATTTACCCACCGCAACTGCCCCTCTCCAGCCCCCTCCCCCGAATCTCTCCCGCATTCCTTTCATAATGAGAAGCGTGTATTTATGACTGTGGAAAGAGGGTGCTGGATCAGTCTTTCCCCTTGTGGCAGAATCCACTCACTCGGCATTGCAGGGAATGCCAACGCCAGCGAAGCACACAGGAGAAAGCCTGGAACACGGTGGGGAGACCGAGGAGTGCAGAATCAGAGAGCCAGGAGGAGAGGCAGAAAGTAACAGTTCCCTGGATAGGACAGGCTCGTTCTTGTTTCCACCTCGCAGTGTCCACACCGCATAGGAGAACCTCCACATTCAACCCCACAAGAATTTCTCTTCTCTTTTGACTAGAGACTTCTTCCCAACACAAGCTCCAAAATCCAGTCCACATGGGATCTATCGAAAGACCTGGGCTATCAGCCATACTTCCCCAGGCCCTTTTGCCCAGGTCCTGGACCAATGGCAGTCTTGTCTCTTGCTTTCAGGCTTTGTCTATGATCACAGTCACAGCACAGAAGTTGCCTCCTGTCAATTTAAAGCCTTTGGGTCACCCAAAGAGAACCAAGGTCATTTGCACCTGTTCCCATGCTTCCTCAACTGCTACTGTCTTGTCAAAGGCAGATGTGTGATTTATAAGGCATGGAGCCTAGGAGGGCAGACTGAAGGTCTTTGCCGAGGCCGGTCACTAAGCATCTGCAAAGTAGAGAAGGCCCTGAGATACGGTAGTGAGTCCCAGAAGGATTCTGCAGGAGCCAAGCCCATGAAAACACACACACACACACACACACACACACAGAGAGAGAGAGAGAGAGAGAGAGAGAGAGAGAGACTGAAAGAGTTGGAGAGTTTGGGGATAGCAGGGTGTTCTTGGCTAGTTCTACCACTAGCCAAGAGAAAATAAATGCAAGCAGTGTCCCTAGAAAAGAGTCCACCGCGAGAGCCTGTTTGCCGCCTCCTTCTAGTTTCTGTGTGTGTCTTACAACATCTAAGAGTGCCTTCTGCTCTTCAGGTGGAATCTATACTTTTCCCAGAGCTGAAAGGCTATAACCTGATCCTCGGAACTGTTAACCCTGAAGAAAGCCTTGTTTCTGATTTTGTGAATGATACTTTTGAGGTATTTAAGAAAAATCAAGTTGGACCTCACAAGTAAGTCGGTTTAGTTCTGGTTTTGTCACCTCGTTGGACTTTGAGTGTTTGTCCTTAGCTATCCCTGTCCACACACACCCAAAGCACATAGAGTAGCAATGGCCAGTGCCCACCTGCTTATGACTTTATCCCCATTTTACAGACAGGAGAGTGTAACTTTCCCACACTAGGCTGCAATAAATACAAATGCTCGGATTACAATTCAGGTGCGGATCTTGCTCTGCTCCCTGAAAGCCACAGGCCAAGATATATTTGGATATTTCTAGAATTTAGAAAAACAATATTCTGCAAGATCCAGGGCAACAAAGTCATATTTCTGCTGTGAAACTTGTTGTGTATTCCAGGTATTTGTTTTCGAGTCAGGTTTTCACCATGTAGCTCAACCTGGCCCCAAAATCATGCTGTTCCTGCCTGTGCCTCCCGAGTAGCAGGACCGCAGGTATATACTGTAGCAGGATTCATAAAAACTCAGAGACAGATATGGGGGTTCAAGGTGAAGATTAGAAAAGCAAAGCAGCCAAGCCTCTAGAGAGTTCTTACCTCTATCAAGACTCAAACAAACAAAGAGAAGATCCTGCCCTCAGCATGACTGCACTGAGCACTTGTCTCCTCCCCGCCCCCAGCCATATCACTCCTGTCTCCACCTCCCTAGTGCTGGAATTAAAGGTGTGGGACTCCGTACTGGGATCACCTTTGTGTGAGTTCTGTTTCTCATTTAGACAGATACAATCTCCCGTAGCCCAGGGTGGCCTTGAGTCCTGGGATTAAAGGTGTGTATCACCACTCCCTGGCCTCTAGTGGCTTAGCTCTGCACTCTGATCTTCAGGCAAGCTTTATTTATTAAAACAAAAATGACATATCACTATGGTGTACCACCACCCAGAGAGAAACCTGTGAATTGCTTCAATCAACAGTCTCTGGTCAGGGTAGGACAGCTTCCAACACAACTCTAAAGGCATTCAATTTTGCACGCGCACTGTGAGATCACTCTAAACCAGTGAATGTGATCACAGTTTGTCACCAAATGAAATTGGTGAAAATGTGTTTACTGCACACTTTCAGTGGGAAGAAGTCTATGTTGTGGGGCTATGAACTGCCCTGTGTGGATACACCCGGTGGGGTGTATACTAGAACCCGAGCTATGACCATGGCATGCCAGGAGGAACTGCCCCACTGTGACAACTGAGGTGTTTCCAGATGTGGCCAAAACCCTCCTGCAGGGCAAAATCACTTCAGCTGAGAACATCGATTCATCTGTGTAGAAAGCAGCCTAGTGTTTGGAAGATCACCTCAATGCGTTTTATTTGGGGGGCTTCCCTGCTCATGGGTCTTATACATACACTTTGTTCCAGACCGACCGCATCCTGACCTCTCTGCTGTCTCGGAGTGTCTGCCAGGTTGCCTGGGTACCTTGGGGCTTCACCAAGCCACTCCTCATAGCTACTCAGTACCAACTTGATGTTAATTCAAACTTAATTTAAGTCAAACCATTCTAGATGCATCCTCCAGTTTAGAGAAAATTGTCCAGTCATTCCTACATGATCTGAAAACAGACGGACCTAATGTCATATGCCACAGATTACTTACTTCCAAATTTTCATCTTAAAACTAGGCACAGAACTTGGGGTTAGAAGGAAGACAGGGTGCTGGTGGTTGTTGCACATTTTTGTCAGGATAGTAACAAGTCTACATAGTTTGCTATAACTAAGGTTTATGATAACCTTATAAAATTTGGCTTATTATAGTCACTTAAAATAAAAACACAACTTGAAAAAAAACCCACCAGGCAGTGGTGGCGCACACCTTTAATCCCAGCACTTGGGAAGCAGAGGCAGGCAGATCTCTGTGAGTTCAAGGCCAGCCTGGTCTACAAAACGAATTCCAGGACAGCCAGGCCTACACAGAGAAACCCTGTCGAGGAAAACCAGCTAAGTATCTTCTCTAAGTTTATGCCACAAGGAAGTCACAGAATTGGAGTCAGAAGCCCAAATCCTGGATTTTCAGCTGTATTTCTATTCTATTTCTCTTTCTTGGCTCGAGTTTGTGTTTTAAATGTGCCCTATTTTAGCTGTGCCCTTGCCTGTCCAACTCATTGACTTATGCTTGTGTGCTTTGTTTTATGTTCTCCAACACAAAAGATACCTAAATGTGTACAGGAAGTACGAGGACTTGCTGGATAACACGGCAGAGCAAGGCATCACCGAATTCCTGAATAAAAATCACGAGATTGAAGATTTTGTGACGGTAGGAGATGCCACTAAGAGTTTCATGCCCTGATGACATGGGGTACAGTCAATCCATTGAGCAATCGATGGATTGCAGTGAGCACAAGCTCAGTGTTGGACTAGTGCCGACCAAGGGGGAAGCTAGGGGAAATGGGGAGAGCTCTGATTGCGATTGAACTATGAATGTACTTCTTTCTATAGAGCATCAATCTCATAAAAAAGAGGAGAAATGAAATTGCGTCCATGCACACCACCGTGCCTTTGGCCATGTTCTGTCTTAATGCCTTGTTCCTAAATCATGACCTCTGTGAGCGAGCCCAAAATCTTAAAGACCGTCTGATTCAGTATCAAGTGGATGTAAACTGGGAAACTAATACCAGGTACAGAAATTCTGAGAAAAAAAAAATTGGGCTGTGGAGATGGCTTAGTGATTAAGCTCTTGCCACACAAGTGTGAGGGCTAGAGTTTGTATTCCTGGAACCCACATAAATGCCAACCGGGTATGGTATCCCACCTGGACCTTTAGCCTGGGAAGGCAGAAAAGCAATAGAGGATGATTCCTCACATCAACCCCGGGCCTCCATATTGATGTAAAACCAGATGTGCCTGTGATGATGGTGGTGGTAGTGGTGAGGATGATGTGGTAATGGTAGTAATGGTGATGGTGGAGATAGTGGTGATGGTGGTGATGGTGGTGATGGTGGTGGTGGTGGTAGTGGTGATGGTGGTGGTGGTGATGGTGGTGGTGGTGGTGATGGTGGTGGTGGTGGTGGTGGTAGTGATGATGGTTGCTGTGACCATTTCTTTCTCCGTAGCATTTGTAATCAGTACAACACCATCGCTGAAAAAGTCAGTGAGATCCCTGCCAACACCGCGGAGCTAGTGGCCCTCATCGAATACTTAAGGAAATCCAGTGACGTCACTGTGTTCAAACTCAGGAGGCAACTTAGAGATGCAAGTGAGAGGCTCGAGTTCCTGATGGATTATGCAGACTTGCCCCGTAAGTCTGCACCATCTGTATGTATATGCATGCTTGTGTTCCTATGTAAATATTAAAATGTGTTTTTTATATTTTAGGAATTAAATCTTGGGAGAAAGTAGGTTCATAGCACCCCACTACACAGTATTGAGAAAGCTTTCCCAATGCCCCATATACAAGAGGCACTAATTCACACCTTGATCCACAGGATTTGAGTCACACAAAGGGACTCTTGTTAGACTAAGTGAGTGCACACCCAGAGGATTGCCTCTGGCTCTCAGCACCCTATACTGGCATCTAACCTTGAGGCTCAGAACAGCTAGTTCCAAATGCAGAATCTTTTGATAAATGGGTAGTTTCACTCGTCCTTAATCTCAATAGAGTCCTGTCTTTGAGAGACTAGAATGTGTTTCTGTCTACTTTAGAAGGAAAAAAAATGTTCCCGCTCCTTTAGGTCCCTTAAAGCCTTATTGGATCAAGTTGGAGTTTTAAAGTAAGGGCTAGGTTATAAAGGGGAAATCCCTCTGTTCTTCACAAATCTTTTCCCAGCTGGAAACACGTATGGACTACATGTTCCAAACTAGGATGTGTTGGGGAGCATTGACAGAGACTGGGAACACAAGGTGATTGCCTAAGCAGTCATCAGAAGCTGTGCCCTTGACTACATGGAGACGGGCTGGACTCTCATTTGGCCTCCACATCTTCACTCACCAGAGCGATAATGCACAGGGTGCGTGGATGACCCAGAAACTATTACTGCCATTGTTGCAGATGAGATTAAGGGGTGAGAGGTATCCAAGAGGAGCTACACCCCACATTTCTGATGCTTCTTAGAAGCCAGTAAGGCAGAGTAGTTAGAAAATAGGCTATGGAATTGGTTTGGCTTGGAACTGAAGTCTGACCTCCAGCAATGCAGCCTTGACCACGTAACTTCACTGCTTCCCATTTGTGAAATAAGGGTGATAATGCTGTCTGCATACTTACATGGTCTCTAATAAGCACCCAGTGAACACTGGCCTTCATTCATCCATGACTCCATTCATTTACTACCACCCCACAGAGGTGGACTTACGACGATCTTTTACCTCCTAAATCGATTCCCCACATCCTGAACAGTGACCAGCAGCAGACTCTGTGTGTTTTGCAGATGACGATATCAAACTTAACAGCACCCTGTTCCTCTGGCCTGACCAGATAGAAGATGTCTTTGAAAACAGCCGAAATCTGCTCCTTAGCAAGAGGGATCAGGCAGAGATGGACCTAATAAAAAGGTACAGGGGGAGTCTGGGCTTACTTTGGGAATGGGGCCAGGCTTTCTACACACCATCCACTCTGCAGATGCCTGGTTCTGTCTAGAGCCTGTCTCAGCAGTGTATGGGCAATGGTGGGAGTCATTGGTGGAGAAGGAACTTCTTTTGTTCCCCAGAGGGCTGATCTCTCTAGACTGTGTCACTGTAGTAACCCCCACTCCCTGCTCTCTGGTTTGAACAGTGAGAATGTGATGATACAGAGAAAGAAAGGCAAAAACAGTGGCTTGACTTGTAATAACATTCTCCACAGTAGTAACAGCAAAAGCGTCAGCCTTACCCTGGAGAGCAGACGCTGTAGAACTTCAGGACAGGGTACCGAACCACTGCCGGTTCTGCCACTGCTCCTTCTCAGTGCTAACGCGCTGCAAAACGTGTGTTCCTTCATCGTGTGTCATAGATACGCATTATGGACTTTTGCTACGTGCTGTGCTGTGTTCTAGACATGAATATGTATTTGTATTTGTCTACAAAATTAATTCTTTAATCCACTGACAGAGAAATACAGAAAAAGAATAGACATATTTTTCTACCTAAAGCCTTGTCCCTACTTAACTAGATACTGTCTTCCAGATCCACAAGTGAAGCCTGATGGGTGGGCTGATTCTTTTTAAGTTACATTCAGTGCAGTTTAGATTTTCATAAAAATCGAGCAGCAAATACAAGGAATTCCAGTACAGCCCCACATGCAGGCGTATGCAGCCTCTCAGGCCTGGACAAGTCAGGCTAAACCAGAAAGCAAATCCAGTTTTGGATGGTCAGATGGAAACCCCAAGCCTGTTTTGACATTTCTTTGAGCTTCACCTCTGTCACCTGGAAAGCAGGGTACATTAGAGTCAATGTCACCATGCTGAGGGGATGAGATGAGACATTCTGATTGTGCCCACATCATATCTGGGGCATGGAGTGGACATTCCTACACTGCATGCTTCCTCCTCCTCTAACAGCGACCTCTTTGGTATTCCTAGTTTCCAAAGAATTGTGGGTGTACTGCTAAAATATTACTGGAATAGCTGGGCGTGGTGGCACGGGTCCTTAATCTCAGCATTAGCAGGCAAGAGCAGGCAAGGTCTCTGTGAAATGGAGGTCAGCCAGAACAGTCAGAGATACATAGAGAGACCCTGTCCTGACAGAGAGAGAGAGAGAGAGAGAGAGAGAGAGAGAGAGAGGAGAGAGAGAGAGAGAGACAGGGAGAGAGAGAGAGAGAGAGAGAGAGAGAGAGAGAGAGAGAGAGAGAGAGAGGAGAAAGAGGTTATTGCTGTAAGTGTAAATATGAATGGAGGCAGTGCATGTGCGGGTGTGCAGGGACTGGCCCTGGGAGAAACCATAGCTGTCACTTGCAGTGTGGGAAGAGTGCAGGGTTTCTCCTCCCCGAGCAGGGACTCTCAGTTGGACCCATCAACTAGTCCCCGAGCTCAATGAGGCAGCCCTGGCTCAGGCCTCCCTTTGGTAAATGTTGATTGTCCCTTGTTCCACATGAGTGACAAGGGCTGGGGAACGGCCATGCGTTCATCTATCTTCTGTGGAAACAATCTTTTTTCTCTCCACGGTAGTGGACCTCATTTTCCCAATTCATATGAGCTCTGGGTTTCAGTGTCAAGCATTCTCTGTTAGCCTCCCCACCTCCGGCTTTCGTCTCCCACACTGTCTGAGAGGCTTCCTTCCAGTCCCTTGTCTGTTGACTCCAGGCTGGGCTCTGGCAAATGGTGAGTCCTGGAGGAGGCTGGAGCATGATTGAATTCAGTTTCTTTCTCCCTTGCCGTGTTTGTCCCTGGACCCCAGTATCAGCATCCCTCAGAATGGCAATGCTTGATCCTTCGTGGTTCACATTGTCCCCTCAGTCACAGGGGTCGTAACCTAGCTACCTCACTGCGTTTGTTTGACTGTGCCCGTCACTTTTGCGTTATGACCACAGTGTCTGGCAGAAACAACGTAAGGGGAGAAAGATTTATTTCAGCATGTGGTTTCAGAGGATTTGAGTCAATTGTGGTGGGCAAGGCGTGGCAGAACCGTTCTATTCACACAGAGGCAGGGGTGTGTGATAGAAGCTGTCCTTGCCATGATAGACAAGGAAGCAAGAGAACAAAGCAGGGACCCAGGGCTGAGCTGTGACCTTCAAAGGCCACCTCTGCTATCCGACTTCTATCAGTTCGGCAGGATTCACGGTTTCCACGCATTCCAGAACAGCGCCACCAACTGGAGAATCAGCATTTAAAACATCTGGTGCTGGACTCTGTAGACCCAAACTATAAATCCCTTTAACCCTACCTGTATCTACTCCTGGTAGGAGTCTTTAACTGAAGTTTCTTACTTTGTTCTTCAGAGTAAATTCTACTTCCTGCCAGGATTGTGGCCAATCGCTCACTTTAAATTTCTCTATTATCTTCACTTGGACTTCAATGGTTCCAGGGACAGTTCCATTACTCAAAATAATTTTCTGAATGTATTATCATATGAAATACATTTTATGTGATTTTTACATGTGCTAAAACATACCTTAGACATTATAATGTGCTAAGCAGTTGCGCAAAGTCACAGAAGATGACACTGGCAATGTTTTAATGTGGACATCAAGTCTGTGCGTTGCTGTCCTCTAGGAAATTAATAACTACTTTTTGTAGATTTTTCTCTTTTATGTGGATACAGTGTTTAGACATTTGGTAATGTAAAAAGACAGTCGCTGATGTACCTGTACAGGTGACTGCACAGTCAGCTTTGGCCCCACTCCCCATTTTGATCAATCCTGTTGTAGATTTTGTGGTCAGTACAAACGACAGACGAGACATGAGTGTGGGAGCTGTTCTCTCCCCTGGAGTGCGATGAAAGATCCTTTGGTATCAAGAAAAAGAAGGGAAAATGGCTCAGGGGGGTGGATTTGTACAAAGCCTTAAGGATTTAGACACAGCACTGTGCTTTCCAAGTGGCAGGTGCTCGAGGTTTTGAAGAGTGTATGAATGAAATTCGTTCACCATTAGGATATTTTAAATGCTTTCTACATTCTGAAATGACAGCTTATTACAAAGCAAAGCTAAACAAAGGTGGCAAAGAGGAATCCAACAGGAAGAAACAAAAGCAGGATGCCTCTCCCGGGCGCTCAGACAACCAGGCAAAGAGCAGAGGGGCAAAGGCTCTCGGCTTGTCTTCCCTTCCTGGTCCCATTGCCACGCCTCTTCTCAGAGTCCCTTTTCTGTTGTGAGGGACAGGCTGGCAGGAAGATGGAGAACAGAGTGGGAGCATGGAGAAGCTCTCTGAAGAAGACAAGCAGGAACTAGCATAGAGCTTGTGCCTGGTGCAAGAGGGCTCCTTTCAGAACAAACTTAGCAAGTAGCTGGACGAGCGAAGACGTGGAGTAGGGGAGCGCAGCTGGGTGGAGTGTAGACAGCATGGGAAACGGCCCCCCTGGTGGGAGACTTGGACTGGGAGAACGCTGTTCCGCTGAGGTCATAAATCAGAGGATGGTATATTTAGGGTCACACTCACGAGTGTGTATTTCATTTTATAACCATGGTAGGAAGTTGCTGAAAACTTTTAGCCTGGTACCAGGAAGGTTAATGTTTTATGTTCCACTTACTCTAATGAGAACCTGAATAACAAACGGGCAACGTTGCACCCCGTTATTTCTCGACAGTTTCTTTTATTTTATGTCTCCTGGCCCCCTTCAAGCCCTATTTTTCTCCTTTCCATTTATTTTTTTTTAAGACACTGTGTTGCTTGGCACAGCGGCAGACTTCTTTCTGATAGCCCCTCTAAAACATTTTCACCGCGTCCTTCAACCGTCTTTTGTTTCTCATGCTTTCTTAAAATTGATTCAATCTTGCTATTAATATAGTTTCTGTTCCTATCGATATCAAGGAATCCTAAACTGTATATAACCAAGACTATCACATGCCAGTCAAAAAAAAAAAATGGACTGGCAAGATGGGTCAGTGGGTAAGAGCATTTGCCTTCCAGAGCCAACGACTTGAGTATAGTCCCCAGAGGACATGGCTGAAAGGGAGAACTAGCTCCTGAAAGTTGTCTTCTGGTGCCCACCACAGCACCTGCAGTTAGATGTCTGAGTGGTTAAAATGCTTGCTGACCTTTGGATCCCCAGAAGCCATTTAAAATATCAGATGGGTGTGGGTGGCAGCCACCTTTAATTATTCAGTCTCAGAGATCTCCAGAACAGGCTGGCTAAATTGTCAAGCTCTGGAGTTGATAATGAAACGCAGCTTAAATGAATAAGGTGAAAGGGCAATCAAGGATGATTCCTCACATGAATCGGGGCTTTCACATACATGAGCGCATACACACACGTGTGAACACGCACATGTATGACAACAGACATGTATACCATACACAGAGGAAAACGGAAAATAAAAATAATACAAAGAAAAAGAAAATGTTATTCAATTAGCGCGGTGGTTCTCAACCTATGGGTGCAACTCCGTCAACTTTCACAGGATCACACAACAGATAGCCTGAATATCCAATATTTACATTATGATTCATAACAGTGACAAAATTACAGTTATAAAGTACTAATGAAAATAATTTTATAATTGAGGGCCACCACAACATGAGGAACTGTATTAAAGGATTGCAGCATTAGAAAGGTTGAGAAGCACTGAGCAAGAGAAAAAAAATATTAGTGGGAACTAACATGCTGGTTTTGTCATAAAACCTATGTGACCCCATGGAGATCCTTTAAGAAACTGCATCTCAATCAGAAACTGAAGCTGAGAAGTAAACATGGAGTCTGGAACAGACGTGAGTGTAGTAGGAGCTCGCTTGTTTGTTCCCAGATGCCCAGACTCCAGAAATCACACAGAAACTGTATTATTTAAATCAATGCTTGGCCCATCAGCTCTAGCTTCATTGGCTAACTCTTACATCTTAATTTAGCCCATTTCTATTAATCTGTGTATTGCCACGAGGCTGTGGCTTACCAAGTAAAGTTCCAGAGTCTGTCTCTGGCAGGGGGAGCTACATGGCTTCTCCTGACTCCGCCCTCTTTCTCCCAGCATTCTGTCCAGTCCTCTCCGCCTAGCTCTGCTCTGCCCTGCCCTGCTCTGCTCAAAGCAGTTTCTTTATTACTCAATGGTATTCACAGCATACAGAGGGAAATCCCACATCATGTGAGGTCTGAAGGCTCAAATTTACCTTGACCAAGACCTGCAAAGCCACCCAGAAGCTCCTGACACTGAACTAATAGGCCCCATGGCGTCTTCCTGAAGGTAATGCCCTGCTGTAGCAACTCATTAGCACTGGAGCGCTGGATGAGGAAAGATGAAACTGGGTTATATGTGGGCCTGAAGACTGAGGATTCCTTAGAGAAGCAGCTTCAGGCCCAGGTCTTTAAGACGGACTGGGCCAAATCTACCCACTATATCTGAGTGCTTGTCCACCAGCACCAGATCAGGGCCCACAACAGGTGGTGAACTTCCTGTGGTATTCTGGAAGAAAATGGCCCCCGAAGGGAGTGGCACTGTTAGGAGATGTGGCCTTGAAGGGTGATACTGTGGTGGCAGGCTGTGAGGTCTCTTTTGCTCAAGCTTCCCTCAGAGTGACTGTCAGTGAACTTCCTGTTGCCTGCAAGATGTCGCTGTTCCTCCAGCATCACATCTGTCTGCATGCTGCATACCCCCACCGTGATGATCATGGACTGAACCTCTCAACTGTAAGCCACCTCAGTTAAACGTTTTCCTTATTAGAGTTTCCATGGTCATGCTGTCTCTTCACAGCAATGGAACCCTAACTAAGACACATCCCGCCCTTCATTGTCGATCTGGCCTCTCAGAAGATAGACTTCTCCCTCTGCTCTCCTTATGGTAGTGGCCGCCCGGGCCATGTGAAGAGGAAGAATGATAAGAAGAACTAAGGTGGCAGAGTGGCTGTGACGATGAACAGGATAAAGCCATGCCTCCCCTGGGCTGGAGGGTGCTCTACTGTTCCAGTTGGCTAGTAACACTTTGGGGAAACCAGGAGATCAAAGATGGCTACTTAAATATGTAAAAGAAAATTGAGCAGACATCAATTCTTATATGTAAATTACATAAACCAGCATATAATTCAAACGGAAGAGTAACTTGGATGCAGAGATAATGGAATAAATGGTAATCCTGACTAACTGGCAGGGCATGTCTCCCACTCTCTCTCCACACTGATAATATCAACATGAAAACACAGCTTCTACCTCTTGTGGGATGAGAAGCGTTTGTTCTGGAACCAAAAATGAATGATCACGGCTGGGGAGCACAGACCCGAGGTACCCCAGACTCTGTGCTCCCATGTGGTAACAGTTCAGTGAAGTTTTCACAGTGACAGGGCAAAGAAAGTTATAAATCAAGGCTCTCTTCAGATACGTTGGTGGTGGGGGAGGACTTACAGGAAAGTAGAGAAACCTGTGCTGTCAGCCCTGGTGCTGACAGAGTCCTAACATTTTGGATGGTGGAATCTAGTGTTCTGCGAAGCTAACGCATTCCAAAAGGTCTAGTCACAAGGATATTAGGTCAGACACAGAGGTGAGCAGAGAACCAGAGATAGCCCAGGAGGAATTATAATTAGACTTTGGACCTGCCGTTTCTCGATCTCTCCACCATCACTAAGATTTCAATCAGTTAATCAGCTTTGCAGAGAAGGGTCAGTGAGAGGTGAGGCTCTTTCCAGTGACTTCCGTTCATAATAGCGCACCCAAAACTGTACCCTGCAGTACAAAATCTCTATTTTTAAATGCCCATAGATATTCATTAAAAAATGGCCATGTTTCAGGAGTCAAAAAATTAGAAGGAACAGAAAATATATAATTGTATACATTCGGTATCTATGGTGACATAATACAACATAGCATCTTGAAACAATGAGGATTTCTCACAGTGTCTTTGGGTCAGATCTCCCAAGAGCCACTCAGCTGTATTTCTGGCTATATGTCTCTGATACCAGGTCTCCTGGGAAGCTGGAGTCAGAATGCTAGCCCAGGCTGTGGGCTGGTCTGGGGTGTCCCACTAGCTGATGATCCAGTTCTGGGCTTCCTCCCATGGTCATTAGCAGGCTTGAGTACCATGCTGGCCCTTGGCTCTGCTTTTCCCCACACGAACCTCTCCACGGGGGAGCTGTTTTCCCTCAGAGGAAGAGTGAGCAAAAGAAATAGAAATTGGCTTTCTTGGGAACTTTCTTGAGGGGGCCAATCCGTCCTTTTGCCAAATTTTGTTTGTAAGAAGTGAATTACCACATGGCCCAAACTCGAGGGAGCCAATTATACAGGGTAGGAACCAGAGGTAGGGATCGTAGCTGAGACTGCTTCCCACATGACGCAATTAGAGATGAAACCCAAACCAAACCACTCACAAAGCAACTCTCTTAAAGTACTATTAGGAGGGAAAAGAAAGAATATTTAAACTTGTTATAGCAGGATTTAGATTCTAAGAGGATAAGAGCACAACCTACGAACTGTCACTAATGCTGTGCAAGCTCTCTTGTTCCTTTAATGAGCATTGATTGCTGTCTGTATGCCAGACAGTCTGCAACTGCTAGAAACGCGTGAAATTAATGAAGAAAATATATAGATTGTCATCAATGGGAGCAAATTCTTGCATAGAGATTGTAATGAACCAAGCTCAATTCTAGACAATGTTATATTAACTTCTAATTAGTTACTTAGCTATTAAGAGATATAACCAAGCTCAATTCTAGACAATGTTATATTAACTTCTATTTAGTTACTTAGCTGTGTGTGTGTGTGTGTGTGTGTGTGTGTGTGTGTGTGTGTATACATATATGGAAGTATAGAGCATTTAGGTGATGTGCCCAAAGACCACATAGCTAATCAATATCAACAGAAACATTTGAGTCAAGCACTCCGGTCTCTAGATCTCACCCACACAACAGTAGATCATCTGCTTAAATTGGGTAAAGGAAGAAACAAATGGAGACTAGATTTGTTGTTCATATAGGTGAAGTCTCAGATCTGGGAAAAGCTCTCTAATCTCTCCAACTGGAGTGGATTACATAAGGCAGGCTGTTCACTTTGCTCTGTTTTGTTTCCCTTAGGGCAGTTGTTACTATCAGAAATATATTTCTGGATTTATTCATCCATCTATAATCTGGATTTAACCATCCATCCACCCACTCACCCATCCATACTTATTGTCTAAATCCCCTCCCAACTAAAATACATGTTCCAATAGGGCATAGAGATGAATAGCACACTTCACAGATGTTTTCCCGATGCCTAGTTCTGGGAGGTATCAGTCCTCGATGGTAAATATCCAACAGTGGAATGAAGAAACACTGCATAAAACACATGCTCGAGCATGTACTTCCCCAGGCAGGAAAAATTTCTAGGCATGTTCATGATGTGGGAAGTCCTTCTGTATGTGTATTGTTTTATTGGTTAATGAATAAAGTTGTTTCAGCCAATGGTTTATCAGAGCAAAGCCAGGTGGAAATCTGAACAGAGATATAGAGAGGAAGTAGATGGAGTCAAGGAGACGCCATGTAGCTGCTGAAGGAGAAAGATGCCAGATCCTTACCAGTAAGCCACAACCTCATGCCAATACATAGATTAATAGAAATGGATTAATTCAAGATGTAAGAGCTAGCTAGAAATATGCCTGAGTAATTGGCTGGACAATGTTGTAATTAATATAGTTTCTGTGTGATTATTCAGGTCTGAGCAGTCAGAAAACAAACAAGCAGTCTCCATTTAAGTGTTCAGTCACCAATAGGCTCATAGCAGCACCTCTAGGAGATGGATGGTGGGCGTCTTAACTTGTTTTGTGTTTTTCTTTCTTCGTTTGCTTTTAGATAGATGCAGAGTTTGGGGGGGGGGGTGTCAGAAGAACAAATCTTTCCCAGGCTGACAACCTGGAAAGAACCAATAATGGAGATTCAGATGTGATGGGACTGTGTTCACTTTCAGGTGCTCAGAATTTGAGTCGAGACTCGAAGGCTATGGCAAAGAACTGGAAACCTTCCGGAAGCGTGAAGTGATGACCACAGAAGAAATGAAGAATAACGTGGAAAAGCTTCATGAACTCTCCAAGAACCTAGATCTTGCACTGACGGAATTTGAGGTTTGGAACCTTGTGATGGGGACTTGGGACTCTAAGGTCTGGTCATTCAGGTTCTTAGTTTGTGAACACGACACCTGTCAGGGACACACCATTGTTTGCTTGGCCCATTCTTTCAGGAGTATGTTCAACTACCTTTTCCACATGGTGTTTACATTTTTATCAGGTGTTTGGAAGTCATGAAATACCCAAAGAAGTTACAGCAAGGTAACCGCTTATGTGTGTTGTGTATCCATGGTGTGCTGAGAAGGGTTTCATGGAGCTGTCTCAGTGCCTGGAACAAACCTCTGCCGCTTGTTTTCCCTATGGATGTCCACTTTTGTAAATAGAAAAGGCTTGGAGCCATTAAGCTACTTTCTCCAAAAGTCAAAGATCAATTAGCAAGTTGTCTGAACAAAACACTGAAGTTCTTCCCTCTGAAGCAAGTGAGTGTAAGAAGGCTGGTAAACAGTCCTATGAGCAACTAAATTTCATGTAGAAACTATGAAAATGGAGATGTCTATGAAAATGGAGTATGTTAGAAACAAAGATGAAACAGTAAGACTCAAATTATCCATTTCCAGCAGTTAGATCTCAGGTACCATGGCCCTCAGAGACAGCACAAGGACCTGCCCGCTAAGCCTACCCCATTGAATGCAGTCCTCCTCCGCCTGGCCTTTTCAGTGCTGAGGAAGTTGTCCTGGAGGTTTCCTGGGTTCAAGAGATCCACCTACCCAACAGACGGCCTCCTCTTTTTCTTACAGTTGATCAACAAGGAGGAAGAACTGTTGGAGAAAGAGAAGAGTTCCTTCCCTCTTCTGCAAACCCTAATGGTCAACAAAATACCCTATGAGCAGCTGTGGGTCACAGCCTACGAGTTCAGCATTAAGTCGGAGGAGTGGATGAACGGTATGCCAAGTTCTAAGCCTGCCTGGGCAGCGGGGATGGAGGTGGGGACGATGTGGATCCACCCAGGCAGCTCTGAAATCACCTTTGTCCTTTGGATTCCAGGACTCCGGATTAGGACAGTCATAGTTTTTATCTTCTGATGTAATAACAAGGGGAGATGAATCAAAAAGCAAGAGACCTATTTCAAGGTTTAAATTCCATCAGCACCCAGAGCCTTTGTCACGGTGATGATTCCAACAAGAGGAGAGAGATGGAGAACAGTGCCTCTGAGTGCTGCTTTAGGAAGGGCCAGAGTGCCATGGGCATCTAGAAACTACCCAGCTCTGGAGTCCAGGGGAGCAAGGTGTGGGTGGGATCAACAGAGCATAGAAGACACATGAGTCAGAGAGAATGAAGGGAAAACCCTAGGTGGCTTCTGGGTTTTTGGTTCTAGCAGTTTGGTAGGCTTTGCCTTATTGAACAGAGAAGTGGCAAATTTGCTGGGAGAAAAACTCCTTCAACTTAGAATCCACATGGGAACATTAGTTATTCGGTATGGGTTATTTTATATTACGATATAGTATATTGTATAGGTTTTATATATATATATATAATAGAATATATTATTTTAGTTTTGTACATTATAATTTACAATATCATATGATGTATATATGTAGTAAATATGTAATATATTATTGTATTAGTCTACAAGATATTATATCAGTATGGGTTTTAAAAAATGGGTCTGGAGAAAGGCGATTTATTGAGAAGCAGATGATTTTCATTAGGACCCTGGATGCCGTCTCTGGGAAGGTGTTAAAAGGATAAAATCAGAGGCCTGGCATTCATCTCTAGGGCTCCGCACAGTAAACCCAGCTGGATGGATGTCTTTGCTGAGGTTCTCGGCAGCAATTATGATGACTTTCCTTTTGAAAACATTTGTATACATTCTATGACAATTTCATACGTGTTCATAGTGTGTTTTGGTCAGAATCGCTCCTGTTCTCTTCTGTGGCTATGTTTCTTAAGATGAATTCCTAAGTACAAAATGTCTAAGATCCAAAAGGCGTGTTGTGAAAATTGCTAAGATCTTTAAAATGACTCGCGGGGGACACCTGACTTTCGTTGTTGTCGTCCCGAGAAGTAACGCTGCCGTTCATTCTCCTGGCGATTTGGGAGAGTGCCCGTCTCCCACTCTCCTCCCAAACTGAAGAAGACAACTTTGAAAGTGGCATTTGCTTATTGGATGTTGCAAATATTGCCTTACTTTCAGCTTTAAAAAAGAAAAGGCGCTTTTTCGCATTTTCCATTGAAGTTGAGTGCGTACCAAGAAGCAGAATTCCCTGTGCTGTGGTTCCCTGGGAATCTCTCCTGAATGAAGCCCTCCTCTGTGCCTCATCTGTGCTCTTGGCTGTGTCACTGCCTAAGAGAAGAGGGTCTCTTCTGTAGTTGAGAGGGAACAGTGACTTTGTATCTTAGCCTGAAATTCACCCTGCTGGTAAAGTCACCATTAATCCGGTCCACCTGGCAGGCGGGAGCCACCCCTCACCATGGAAGTGGCTTTGGTTCCAACTATTCTGCTAGTCCTTACTTTTTCTCGTAAGATTTAATTTTCTAGTGATTTGACACAAATGCCTCGAGTTACTGAGGCCTATTTAGTGAGGGGAGCTGCATGTGGCCTAGGCAGCCCCGAGGGTTGGAAGGTGCTTAGGAGGAGTCAGTTAGCTATATCACAATGCAGGAAGCAATGCGTTGCCATGGGAATAAGGGAAGATTTGGACTGAATGAGAAAGCCAATGCTTAAAAACCCCGACACACAAAAAAAATAGAAGAAAGAAACTAATGTTTTGAAGTACTTTAAAAACTGAAATGTCATTTATTTAAGTGTATGTATATGGGGGGAGCCTCTCACTGAACCCCCAGCCCCCATCTTGACTAGACTGACTGGTCAGAGAGCCCCACAATCTACCTGTCTCCCCCACCTCAGTGCTGAGGTTACAGCCACACATTGTACTCGGCTTGGTTTGTTTGCTGTTTTGTTTGTACAAGGTTCTCGGGATCCAATCTCCAACCCCCACTTTAGCCACTGAGCCTGGAGTCTTTGTATTTCTTTCTGGCCTTGTTCAATAATTTCAAGCTTATATTAATTATAATATTATATATTATCTTCTTAGAACTCTAGAGGGCTCCCATTCCCAGACTGTTAAGTTACAACACATTGAGATCCTTTTAATTCTACTGGCATGGCATTTAAAACTAATTAGAATGACTAACTCCCTGAGTGTACATACGTGATGTGCCCAGAGTGGCATTTGCCATTTTGTTTAGACTGCCTCACGCTGCTTCCAGCCACCCTTCCGGAGTCCATGAATGGCAGGTGACAATGTGGAGGCTCTACTGGCTAAGCAGAGGCAGCCATTTAGATCCAGGCCTAACCCCAGAGACCAAGCCCATTTCATCAGGACCGGCACGGTTCTCAAATCCAGGGAATTAACACGTGGCCGGAATCTCCATCGTAGTCTGGCTTCTCTTTGTTCCAGGCCCCCTCCTTTTATTGAACGCCGAGGAAATCGCAGAGGAGATTGGGAACATGTGGAGGACGACGTACAAGTTGACCAAGTCCTTGTTAGATGTGCCTGCTCCCCGGCGCTTAGCAGAGAACGTTAAGTTGAAGATTGAAAAGTTCAAGCAGCACATACCTGTCCTCAACATCTCCTGCAACCCCGGCATGAAGGATCGGCACTGGCAGCAGGTTCTTGTCACCCCCAGTGTGGTCCAGCCTGCCCCATTTTTCCCTGGGAAAGCAGGAAATGAAAGTCTCCTTGAGGGAAAAGAGTTTATAATTGGCTGTCTGGTCTTCGGGATGGGAATAGGTAGATCATGGGATGAACGTTTGGCCTCATGACCAGGTTGATCCTTTTAGTTAGGCCTCCACTATGGTGTGTAAAAAAATTCTAGACAGTGGTTATAGTCACAGCAGGAAAGCTGTGATTGGCTCCTCCATACACAAAAAGAAAGTCCCACCCCCCTGCTTTCTGAGACCTTGAAAATGATCCCAGATGATTCTTGTATGGGTTATCTTTGGTGTAGAGTTTCCTGGTCAAACAGGCTAGGTTTAGAAGAAGTTTGATACGTTGGGTGTGGTGGCACATTCCCATAATCCCAGCATTTGAGAAGCTGAGACAGACTACAGAGTAGATTCCAGTCTAGTCTGGGCTACAGAATGAGGCCCTGTCTCAAACAAATAGACAAACAGAGAAGCAAGTTGCTCTCCTTAAGTTCTTTAAGCCCATAAATTAGAGCAATAAATTATTCTCCCTAAAAATAGTTAGGATTTTAATAAGCAGCAAAGTGTGAGGGTGACAAGTGTGGTGTGAACACCAAGCATGAAAAGGAAGGTTTGCTGTGTTTCGGAAGTGATGGCCACATTTAAGTGGCCTTGAAGTGCCCTCTCCCAGGGAGTTGCTAAGTGGAGTGGCAAGGTGGCCAGCTTGACGTGGGCAGATTCTTCTCTAAGAACTATGCCTGAGATTGAACCACAGAAAGACAGGGGTTTTGATATGTGAATGGGTCAAGGTCTGTCTGCAGGGAGAAGCCGTCTTCAGCTTCACAGAAAAGTAGGAGACTCGGGACCCCGGCAAGGGTTGGGATGCTGTGCAGGAAGGCACGTGATAGATAAGTCATCATGTGGGCCTCTCCCCTAAAGGGAATCTGTGAAGGGCTTCTGATCTTATAGATAGATGCTCGTGGGTCTTCTATCCCCATGGATGTGAGTGACCCAAACCTTTAACCTATGTCGGGATCTAAGAACGTGGGTGGACAGGTGACTTCTTACAGTGCCAGACTGAGATGGCAGTATTCAAAGTGTTTGTGTCAACTCTTAAAGAACACTCCTTAGGGCCAAGGGTGTGACTCAGTCATAGGGTACTTGCCCAACATGCACAAGCCTCTAAATTTGAGCCCCAGCAACTCAAAAATATCAAATATGATTTTTTTAAAAGCAAACACTCCAGGGGTCTCTAAGCCTGCTCGGGGCGCTGTCTCTGTCATTTGCTGTCCTTGTGTGTAAGCACCACCCCTCCCCCTTCAGGCGTTCTTAGTTCTCACCATTCTGGTCTTTTCCTAGGCCTCTTAAGTGAACATTCCTTAGACTTACAACCGAGTAGTGATCTCAGCTCAGACACAAGCTCCCAGACACTTAATAATAAATAAGGCACATTTTATTTGAATTCTTCCATTTCATCTTCAACAACTCTTTGAAATAGGTACTGTTCATAGGTAGAATAACTGAGCGTTGAAAAGTAAGCTGTCATATCGCTAGTTAGTGGGCCAGGAGGGAACTGGAATCCAGGTCTGTTTGGCTTAAATAAAGCAACGTCAAGAGAGCACATGAGGCGTGAGGAAGAAAGGCAGGCAGGGCAGGAGATCAAAACTGACAGTGGAACATAGCCCCAGGAAGGAAGGAAGGAAGGAAGGAAGGAAGGAAGGAAGGAAGGAAGGAAGGAAGGA